TTGCATGTGGACTGGGGCAGCGTAAGGACTGGGATGTGAGGAGAGATGATGGTGTGGCAGCTGCAGGGGGTCCAGCTGCCAGCCGTGCACACCTGCCCAAAAGGCCAGAGGTACCAAAGCCTGCGCACCCACAGAGAGCCTCAGGATCCAGAGAACATCCAAGAAGATGGAGGTAGGAACTGGTTATAGCAGGTAAATACTCCCAGGATGTGGGAAACAGAAGTTTCCTCTGCTCCCACAAGAGCTCCTGGACTCCGCAGTTCCTGTCCTTGCAAGGATATGGGATGGGAAAAGGGGGGATACAGAAAGACCCTCGGGCACAGGGGTGGGGCAGAGGAGCCACTTACCCATGGAGAAGCTGTAGCACACGCAGGTGAAGGTCTCCGCCTGTTGAAGGGCACAGGACGGTGAGCTCAGAGCAATCCCACGTCACCCACATCACGGCAAGGAGCTGCCACCAGCGCCACAAAGGCCCCAGCCGTGGCTGAGGACGCGGTGGTCACTGCCCTGCCCCGTCCACAGGAGCCCCCGGCACGGGTACCTGCGGTGAGCGCCGGGCGAGGCGCAGGAGGGCGGTGTAATCCCATCCTGGGTGCAGGGGAGCGTTGTGGAAGCCGTGCCCGCGGGTCCCATCACCCAGCATGAAGTCCGTGGGTGCGCTGAGGTTGAGCACGGCGGCCACGTAGGGCTCAGCAGGGTGGCTGTGGTTGGAGGGCTGCAGCTCCCCCGAGCAGGCGTCTTCCAGCACCGTGCTGTTGTGTGTCACTGCCACGAGCAGCTGGTGCTCACTGCAAGGCAGGGCTGTGAGATGGGGATGGGGATGGGGATTAGGGGACATGGGGACACGGGGAAGGGGATGAGACCGACGTGGAGATGAGCTCGGGAACAGGGACAGGAAAGAGGACAGTAATGAGGACAGACGGGTAAGAGGATGAGGATGGGGATGGGGAAGGGGATGGGAACAAGAACAGGGATGGAGATTGGGATGGAGGAAGGGAGGGACGGGGGTGTGGAATGGGGGTGTGGATGAGAGTAGGAATGTGGATGGGCGATAAGGATGGGGATGGGAGTGAGGTTGGAGACGGAGATAGGGCAGTGAGATGGGGATGAGGATGGAGCAAGTGAGGATGTGGAGGTGGTAATAGAGATGGGAATGGGGAGAGGTGGACAGAGGCAGCTTAAGGGGGGCGGCACTGCTCAGGGCTGCAAGAGCAGAGCAGCGGAGGCTGTGCTCACCTCGCTGCCTCAGGGCGCTGGGAGATGGGGTGCAGGGGAAGCACGGCTGTCCCCTGAGATGGAGAGGTATGGAGCACGAGGCGGGAGCAGCCGTCGGGCATCTCTGCAGAGGAAGATCCCCGTGATGAGCATCAGCAGAGTGGTGCGGAGGGGCAGGAGGAGGAGCTGTGTGCAGAGACCCTCACCTGTGCCGTTGGTGTGAAACCACGATGCAGCTCCGGGACCCACGGCTGTGAGGCCCCGCACGGCCACCACATATGTGGTGCCAGGGCCGTATGTGGGCAGTGGGTGCTCCGTGGTCTGGCTGCTCAGCCTCAGCCGCTCGATCTGCAGGAAGCCGCCGTCCTGCAAGGCCCTGGCCGTGATGTTCAGCTGGGGACAGGACACGGAGCTGGAGGGCAGCGGCCGCAATCCTGCAGGAACCTGCCCACACCACAGCCACACAGCGCTCTGCTCCTCCTGCCCCTGTTCCTATCGCAGCCCTTGGAGGTGCCCAGAGAGCTCAGCAGGAGCCTCGGCCCTGTGTGTGTGTGAGCAAAGCGCCGGTGCTGAGCAGAGGAGGGCAGGAAAGACTTTGGAGCTAACACTCTAGATACCACCAGAGCAGCTGCAGAAAATGGAGTTGCTTAGACTGTGCCTTTGCTCTCCAAGCTGTCTGAGCTGGCCGGGTTTGCAAAGCATCCTCAGCGATTTGTGAATGACGTCACAAATTGTGGTGGCTGCAAGCTGGGTGCAGCACTCTCCTCCCTCAGCCCTGCTTCTAGCACTGCAAACCACAGCCTTTCTCATGGCCAGAGCCAAAAAGAAGAATGCAAAAGGCACAGGAAAGCCTGTAAGGCCACCCCGCCAAATACATCATTGGAGACTGAGGAACACTGAGACGAAATCAGAAATGCTCAAATTCATCACAGCCAGAAATTCAGCTGATGTGGATGGGTGACTGCTGGTCCTCAGGGCTATCCATAGTCTCCCCTCCTGCCTGCACAGAGCTGTCAGCAGGGAGGGGCTGGGTGGGGGCCCGTGGTACCTGGTACCCAATGATCTCCCCTTGGCAGGAGGGCAGCGCCTTCCACCTGAGGGTCCCCGTGCTGGCATCCAGCTGCAGCTGCTCCGGCTTCTGCGGCACTGGAAGCACAGGAAGATGGAGTCACAGGTGGGGCTGGCAGCGAAGGTAGGAAGTAGGTAGGGGGTAGGAAGGAAAGAGCTCTGCTCCAGGACTCTGTACAGTCCCTTCTTCAGAGCCCCACAGGCTGCATGCAGCCCGAATGCCAGGACCATCACAGCGGGGAGGGGATTCTCAGAATGAACTGCCGGGCCACAGGCACCTTTCTCTGCCTCTCTGCTGGTGAACCAGCCCAGGAATGTCCCTTTCCTTCTGTACTATCCCATGGACACCTACCTGTTTCTTTTGTCCTGATCACCCACGAAAACAGGACTGTGCTGGGGGGCACTGAGATGGTGACAGTGTAGTCAGTGAAGGGCTGCAGGGGAGGACAGGTGAATGTTCCCATCTGGCCGTGTAGGAGCTCCACTCCAGTGACCTCCTCAGCCTTACAGGGAGGTGAGGAAGGCCCTGTCAGCCGGCATGTGGCCTGCATGTGCTGGCAGGCATCAGGGAATCTGCAGGTCCAGTTCAGTTTGATGCTGGTGCTGGAAACATCCAGTGTGCCGGGGACAACTTCTAGCACCTCTGTGAAGGAAGTATTGCAATAGGGTCAATTCCTTTCCTTCCCCTCCAACCCTGTAATGGTGCTGCTGACACAGAACCCTGGTCCCAAACCAGCTACAAGAAAGTAAAGCAGGAGGGTGTAACAGCTCATTCAGTTCTTTGGTTGGAGACGCTGGAGGAGTTTTATACCACAGCATTTTTAGAAGCTGGACATGAACTTTGGATTGGTAGTCACTGCTGGAGGTAACTGTACCCCTTCAGACACACTTCAGACCCCCACAGCTCATCAGGATGTGCCCACGTGCACTGCAGCTGCTGACACAACCAACGGGCACACCTGCCCATCATCTCCCCTGGCTACCCAAAGACAGCTCCACCAGCAGACCTGGCTCTCAGCAGGGCATTTGGCATGTTCCTGGCAGAGGTGGTAGGGGCTGAGTGCCAGCTGGGCATGGGGCTGCAAAGGTGGGATGGATGAGGCTGTGGCACCATTCACTGGGGGAGTGCACTTAGGTATCGACCCCAGGGTAATATAAGGAATGTTGTAAGGCATCAGGATAATGTTCCTGCAAATAGTTATGAGGAAAACTCATGAACAGTTATGGAAACTAAGAGA